TTATTTAACATATAGGAAGGGCAGTTTCCGATCTGTCCTAGCAAAAGCTTCACATTTTCTGTCACTCCCTGTGCTCACGTCACGTGTCCTACCTTCTGACCTTTCATGAGAAAAACGGCCATCGTTTCACCATTCCCCCACCAAGGAAATCAATGCAGAGGGGAGAGCGAGACAAAGTGGAGTGACAAAGTGTCTGGGAAGTGTGAGTGCGTGTGCGTGTGCGCAGAACTCCTTCCCCCCGCCCCAGCCTGCCCCTGCAGGCTTCTGCATAAAGCTCCCCAATCACGGGCAGTGGAGGGGCTGAACCTGTAGTGCAGGGGCAGGTCAGAGGATGCCGCAGGGGTCATAGCTGTCCTTTGGTATTCACCAAAATGAAACCAGTGCAGGAAGGGGACGATGCAGAAGCGCTCACTGTCCCCAGCCTGCTCTCCAGCCTGGGCTCCCATTCACCTTTCCGCCACGATCTTCACCTACCAGCTCCAGAAGCCCCCTCGCTACCTTAGTTTCCCCCTTCCTTGATGATGGAGGGGGAGTCTGACTTACCTTGGTGGCCCGCAGCAGGCTCTCCCTGCCCCCCCAAAGCCTCCACGCCCTTCCCCCCTACACTTTTGCTCAGCGCCTACTGCCCACTTATGCGGCCCCCTCTCCCATCCAAACCTCTCTTCAGGCCTCCTGCTCTGAGCTTAGTTCCTGCGAGGAGTCCTCAGGTACCACGTCCCCCCTAGACCCTTCCTTAAACTTTGGGACTGACATATGCCCAAGCCCCTCCTTGGCACTTACTCTATCCACATGTGACCCATCACACTCACACACCCACCCATTTGTCCAATCATCACTGTCCACTGAGGGCTGATCTTGGACCGGCCCGGGGCAGGGATGATAGCGGAGGCCTGAACAGCCAGGAATATCCTGCCCTTGCAGAACTCACATTCTAGGGGAAAGGAGACTGTCAATAAGTGAGATAAATCAGAAAAATAGCTAGCAAGTTGGATGATAAGTGCTGAGAATACAGTAGGGGTTGGGGGGAGGAAAGGTGGGAATAGTCAATGAAATGGTCAGGGGGACCTTGCTGAGCAGTGAGCAGAGACCCGATTGGGGAGAAGAGGGAGCCCTGTGGATACTCGGAGCAAGAGCACACAGGCATTGGGAACAGCCCATGAAAATGTCCTGAGGCAGGAACACACTTGATGTGGTCAAAGAGCAGAGAGGAGGCCGAGTGGCTAGGCATGGTGAGCGAGGGGTGAGAGAGGAGGGCAGATCATGTGGGAACTTGTGGGCCACAGGGAGGACTCAGGCTCTTACCTGAGTGCGATGGAGCTATGGGTAGGTTCTGAGCTGGGGAGGGGCGTGGCCTGACTCAGGTGTTTACAGGCTCCCTCTGGC